GAGCCTATGGGAAATCTCAGTAGTTGAATGCTGCAAAAGCCAGCTGAGAAGCAAGAAGCAATGAAACACTGCAGAGCTCCATCAAAGCTCCATGCCTATCCCAGAGCCTCTTCTGGGAAGGAAAAAGGACGCAGCAGGGTCTGCACTTGCGAAATGGAGAAGGCATGGTGGCTAAAGCATAGAAGTTCAAACTCTCCCACAGCCATAACTTTGCACGTTTTTTCCTTAAAACTTGAGGTAAAAAAGCAAAAAAACAAAAAAAGTGATCCAAAACAATTTTCACAAATCCCAACTTCAGGCACTTCACATACAGTGAAGTAAAAAATTGCTGTGGATTAGATAAGAACTCCTCGCTCTATCAAATCCAGTTTGCTTGGTTTCTATACCACGTGCAGACACGGCGAAATGCAAATTGTACAGATTAGGTAAGGTGGTATTTAAAAGGAGGAGAAAAAAAAAATCCAGCTATTGAAATAAGATGTGATTTGATTAGCAGAACCAAGGCTGAAAGCGGAGATCGAATGGGCTATAAACAATTTAAGGCTTGGGAGGAAGCCAGCACTGGCTGGGTATTCATTTATGGTCCAACGTGCTTGCTCTGTAATCCACTAGCAAAAAGCAAGCAAGAACGACAAAATTGCTGGGTAGAGTAATCTTTCACACTGAGAGATCATCATGTCATCTTCAGAGATTTCTGAGCATCTCTATGTCCACCTAACATTGAGTATGTACTTAAAATACTGAAATACTGGAGCTGTATATTTCTTCAGCCATCCTACTCCTATTGGCCACACGTGTGTATTTTATTCATCTTACTTAAATCCTGTTCTTTTTATTGCATCCACATCCAGGCGAATCGTAGGAGATACGACTGTGAGTGAACTATCAGCGCACTTCATGGTGCTGTGGTTCAAGCGTGACTTTAAAGCAATGCTTCCAATCGTTTGGATCATCCAGTCATTGCATGGGGTCCTGGGCAACCTGGTCTAGTGCCAGATCTGGAGGTTGGTGGCATTGCTGTGACAGGGGGGTTGGAACTTGGGGATCTTTGGGGTCCCTTCCAACCCAAGCCGTTGTATGATCTGCTTGCTTCCTTCATTGAGCTGTTCCTGCAGTGTTGTTTTTCATGCTGTTACAGGGTTTACTTCAAATTTTTCAGGGGAAGGCTTTGCTGGAGGATTTTTCTGGGTGCTTGAACGTACTGCAGTGCTCTTTTGAGGTTTCCTGTGCTGCTGACTGGATAGGCATGCTGGGGGCTCTTACGAGAATCAGTATTTTCTTACAGCGCTGTTTCTGGGAATTGACTGTTTATATAGCTTGCATTAAAGGGAAAAAAAAAGAGCTTCTGAGAAAAAAGGCTGGGAGGTGAAAGTTGGATGTACTCTGAGGCTGGGAAATCAAGCCAGCACTCCCTCCCCAGCTTTTTGGATGCTGAGTGGTGGGACTTCATTCCCCCCAGTGACTCACATAGGGGTAAATTAGGTGGGGTAAATACTGAAGCTGTCTGCAAGACCTTCCTGTTGAGTATTACTCACGTTGTTCCTCTTTTCCTTCGTTTTCTGGCAATATTGAAGGCTACATTTATCTTTTTGAAGTGACTACTTTTAAAAACATTTTGATTGTCAAAGGGGATGTTGTTTCCCAAGAACTTTTTTTTTTCTGGGAATGGTTTTGCTTAGCAGCATCTCCAGGTTTGAAATACCAAAATCCTTTGCAGAGCAGAATTCCTGTTTGCTTGAATGCTTTTGATCCCCTTTGTAAATCTGTCTGGACGGTCATTTTTCTCCCCTGTTCTTTATTTTCCACCCTGATTTCTAACCTGTCTTCTAATTTGTTTTATGTTCCTGTCCTTCCCTTGGTGATGGCAACACCTCCTAATATAGCTTGGTCTGCCAATTCTATTATTTGCTCTTTACTTCTTTTTCCAGCTCGTTAATGTAGAGGTGACAAAAGATGGGTCTACCAGTGATCTCTGCCGAACCCCACCAGGTACATCTCCCCGAGCTGACAAGCTGCTGTTCATCATTTTGCTTGGTTTATGGTTCCTTACCCGCTTTCTGAAGCACACAGCATCTCTTATGTCCAAGCAGATTTGAATGGGCGCCTCAGAATGATCTTTCATGGGTTGCTGCATCAAATGTCTTCCTAAACTTGAAATACGGTTTTTCTACTCGGTTTGGCTCCGAGATGGGGTAGGCAGGGAGGGGTTGGTGGGGACAAGCAGCATTTCTCTGCTGTATCCCAATCACAGAGAACAGGCTGTGCAGTTAGGGCAATAGCTGGGACGCTGACAGGAGGTGCAGAGTGCAGGAACTGAAGGCCATTGAGCAAGCAAAGCAAGGAGCAGGGGTTATAGCACAGTGCTATTCACCCATCTCATCCCACAGGAGAGCTTCCTTTCGTGGGGGAACTGCTCTCTGAGCACCTTGTTTCTTGCTGGGCCCTCACAGGGTGTGATGAGATGAGAGAAAGGCCATGTATTTCCTACAACCAGGCTCAGAAAGAAATGTGCCCTGGCTTTCCTGCTCTCCCTTGGCTGGACGAGGCTTGGGCACCGCAGTTCCTCAGCCTGGCCCTCCTCAGACCCATCAGGATATCCCAACGTGACCGAGTCTCCTTTTGCTCATAAGCTGGCACAGGCAGGATTTACCTTCTGGCATCTGATTCTTTCTCCCTCCTCCCTGATTGGTTCCGTTTATTAATTCTGTTAATTTATTGCAGGCAGGAGCTTGTTCTGCCAAGTACTAATTGCAAAGGCTATTGTTTCTGCCCTTTTTTAAGTGCGGCAGGAAGATCCGAAATTCCATCCCATGAAAAACGAGAAAAAGGCAAAAGTTTTTGGACTGGATGTAGACCCCTCCCGTGCAGTGTTTGCACTGCAGAGCGTGTGCTGCCCTGCCACTGCCTTCCTGTTACAGGAGGGTGGTCAGAGGGCTGGAGCACCTCTCCTATGAGGATAGGTTGAGGGAACTGGGAAAAGAAGGCTCTGGGAAGACCTCACTGTGGCCTTCCAGTAGTGAAGAGAGCTTACAATCAGGAGGACTGACTTTTTCACATGATCTGGTAGTGACAGGATGTGAGTGGAAGGCTTTAAATTAAAAGAGAGGAGATTTAGGTTAGATGTTAGGAAGAATTATTTTACTCAGAGGGTGGTGAAGCCTTGGCGCAGGCTGTGGATGCCCCATGTCTGGAGGCATTCAGGGCCAGGATGGATGGGATCCTGGGCAGCCTGATCTAGTGGGTGGCAACCCAGCCCATAGCAAGTGGATTGGAACTAGGTGATCTTTAAGATCCTCTCCGACCTAAAGCCATTCTATGATCATGTTGGTGGTGTTTGAGTTGTTCTGGGATTAACTGAGTTGGCCACAGTCTTTTCCTGGTGGAGAGAAGCAGACACACTTTACCCTTTAGAACCATTCTGGAAGAGTTTTCCTCTTTTTTCCTGGCTGGATAACCTGGGTTTCTTGGGTGCAGTGGGTTTTCTCCAAAGCCAGGCATTTGCCTAACATGTGAGAAGGGGAACAGTTTCTTCTTGTCTGACTCTTCTCCAGAGCTGCCATTTGCTGCCAGAGCTTCAGCATCTGTCTGGATTTTAGGATGGGCAGAAGCCATCTAGCCCAAGTGCCTGGCATTGCAGTTCTGCTGCTGAAGGTGAAAACCCCCTCTGGCAAAGCCCGGAGCCTTTCCAGTGGATTTCTATACTGCTGTAAAACTTGGCTTGGAAAACTTGGCTCTCCATGCTGGAAAACCAAATGTTGAAGCCCTTGAGGCTACAGCTGAGGAGTTCTTCCTCCTTTGCTTGACACTAGGAATTCAGAGCATGCACAAGGCTGTGCTTCCCTCGTGTTTTGTGTGGTGTCTATCTCTTGTGGTTCTGTATTTGCTAGCCCAGGCTTTGTTCCCACTGCAATATTTACTCTGGCTTGTTTCCTGTTTATCACATATCATGGCTGGAGTTTGTTTTTGTTCAGCAGCTCAGAAGCCTTTGGAAATTAGTGTTTATAAACAGAGGGATGTTTGGGACCGCATTTGGATCCACAGTAAATCAGCAAACGGCAGTGTTGTTTTATACAGATTACAGATATGACTTTGGACTGTTTCTTTTCTCCTTTGCCCTCTGTCCCGATATCCTTCTCAGTTGGTCTGTTCTCCTGCATGAAGCTCAGACTTTCCCTTTAGTGCTGTCTTGCTGCTGGCACTCCCCACCCCTCACTGTGCAGATGTGCTCGTGGTAGCAGGTTAATGAAATATTTGGGCAGCATTTAGTTTCCACTGTACATCAAGTCTGGATGGCATCCGTGGACAATGCTTTTGTGCGAAGGGAGCACAGTTAAAATCTAGATTCTAAGGAGAGAAGAGCATATATCATATTTAAAGGAGATTTTGAGCTTACAGCATGAAGGAGAATTATATTTTATATCATAACTTTAATAGTTGAGGAGCTGTATCTCAAAGTGCTTTACGAAGGGAGTTCAAGCAATGTGTAGGAAAACGTGCCAGCCATATGCGTAGCTGTATCTCACATGCAGTCTTGGAAATAATTTATTTTTATTGAAGGGATGAATTTGCCAGAATGTCAAGGTTGTCTTCTGCACTTTTGAAGAAGTGCCACGTTGTCTTTCATCTGCAAAGGCTGGTGACAGGAGGGCCTGCCTCACCAGCTATCTTCCCTTTCCAAACTGTGCCTGCATGTTGGTGAATGGAGGCCAGGCTCAGCATCAGCACGTGTGTGAATGAAAATTCACTTTTTCCTGTCAGGCTTCTTTCCTTCTGTTTATCCTTTCTTCTGCTGAGCCTCACAAACTTCAAGGCTAGGCTGGATGGGGCTGTAAGCAACCTGGGCTGGAGGGAGGTATCCCTGCCTAGAGCAGGGCATTGGAACCAGGTGATCTTAACCTTCCAACCCAAACCATTCTATGATTTTATGAAGCTCACATATCTGTTTTCTTCCTCAATCTTGGCTGGGTTTCCCTGTCCCTTGCGATGTGTTCTTTCCTTAGGCTTAATGCAAACACCTGGCCAGGACAAAAGTTTGATCCTACAAGAGCCAAGCAATGCAGCAGCTCCATCTCATTGGCCAGAAGATAAGCACTGCACGTGCAGATCTCCCAGATGTGCCAGGACTTGGTCCAGGACTCTTCGTACATCCTCCGAAAGCCAGATGTAAGGGAAAGGCTGCTCCATGTGGTGCATCGAACACGTTTCATTTTGTGGGCCTCAGATTGAGCAAAAAGGTTTGTAGTCCAAAAATCATATTGCAAATAAATCTTTCTTACTTATCCAATTTGTGCGATATCCTATTATAGGGAAAAACAACTGTTATCTGCCTCGTAAAGGTTAATGTAATAATAAGCAGATACTGACTTCTATTGAGACTAACAAGATGATTTATTGACCCAAGAGGTAAATATGCAGTGAAGCAAGTCAGGGTCAATACTTATCATGAGGAGAATAAATTCTTGTGTTTTTTTATGATATGGAAACCATACAAAATGGTCACGACCAAAATGTCATCTGCTTTTGTGGTTACCATTAGCAAGACGACAGCTTGGTGTGGTAGATGACTGCCAGGTGCTTCACTTTGTACTTTCAGATGAAAAAGTCCATTTAAAAACATTCCTTTTTGATACTTCTAAATACCTAAGAGAGTGTTATTAAGAGCAAAAATACCTTCCTGAAGGTATCCAGACAAAAAAAAACCAACAACAACCAACAATAACAACAAGTCTCATGTGTTATAGTGGTTTTCAGTGGCTGGGTATATTTCTTGGGTAACTGTTGTAATTTTATTGTGTTTTATTTTATTAGAGAAACATTCAGCTTCCAATTTATAAGCCTGGCAACTTTCAACCAAATTGGAGATTTTCTGTACACGTATTCATTTTGATTGCAAAGCCATTTTTCATTTAAGAAATGCTTCAACATAGAAATGTCAAGCATCTCTTGTAGTTACCATGGATAAAGACAGGCTCTGAATGTTGGCACCTGCTTCAGTGCTCTGTTCCTGAGCAGGATTATCTTTTTTAGACATCAGAATCAAGGGGAAAGGGTATAGCACTGTTGTCATCACCACATCAAGGCCCCTAAATCATCCCAAGGGGAGATACTGGAAGAGTTCATGCTACTGAGAAATGTTGGACAGATTGAGTAGCATGAGGAACCTCCTGGCAAAAGAGCTTTGATGTGTCCTGAAAGAGCAATACATTCACATAGGTTTTATCTCTTTTTTTTCCCCAGGGCTCTCAGAGCAAGGCTATGGGATGCGGGTTCTGACCTTCACACCCTTCTCTCTCCTGTTCTCATTGGTGCTGTGTGGTGAGGGGAGGCTCCTGCAGCACCTGCCCTGGGGTAAGGCATCGCAGTTTGTTCCTGTCCCTGCCTTCGAGGTCTGTACCGTTCCACATGGCCTTTTCTCTGGGAGAAAGCATGTGTTCAATGGTGTGAACTGACTCCACCAAGCTGCAGCCTGGCTGAGTAATGCAATCCTTCACCTCTCTCCTCAGAGAACAAAGGGACAGAAGTGCACTGACTACAGCTAGGACATCCCATCCTGGTTTTGCTGCTGTAACGGGCCCCTCTGCTTCTGTCAGAAGGGTTTTGTGTGCAGAGAGATGTAGCAGATAGGCTGTGCTGCGAAGAGTAGCATCCCTTTACAAGCAAAGATGTGCTCTTTAGCTTGCCAGGCAGCGTGCTTGGAGCTCTGCTGCTTCCTCAGGGTGTCCACAAAACATCGTCCTACAAGATGGCACCTACCAGCTGCTCTCACCTGGGTGGGAAATGTGGTTCATTTGCTCTGCTGGCCCTGTGCACAGCGAGGGGCACTGGTGGTGTGAATGGGAGAAACCATAAATGCAGTTAGAGTGGGGAGGGAGAGGAATTGCACCATCCGTTATCCAACTTGAGCAAAGTGACATGAACAGGGATATTATTTTAGAAAGTTTATCTCTTTAGTATCTATGGTGACAAGATGCTTATCGGAATAAGACAGACTCACAGGCTGTCTGCTCCTTGTTATCTCAGTGTAGGATGACAGTATAAGTATCACGTCTAGAAATGTTATCTATCCTTTATTATTTCACTTGTGAGGGGCTAACAGGAGTGTTATCAGGGTGTTTACAATCAAAACACGTGCAGCTCAAGTGATAAAAAGGAGAACAGACATCTGATCTCCAAGGATATGAAGACAATACAGCCTTGAGCTGGAGGAGATGGATCTTATTGGAAATGGTTTGTCGAGCTGGGAATGGACAAGCAAGCCTGCGTGATTGCTCACATCATAAGCTTGAGAGATGGGGTGGGGGAAATGCATGCATACGAGTGCACATACTCTCACAGAAAATGAAAAGGTGATCGTATCAACAGCACTCTCAGCTGAAAGAGAAATATTTTCCAATAATTTTGTTATGATTTTTTTTTTTTTTTCTGTACTCTCTTCTCACTTAGAGCGGTAATGTGGCAAGCTGGCAGGACCAGCAAGTGCCATAAAGTTGCTTGGAGCGAGTCTGAAGCTGAGAAAGCTTACCCAGGCCTGGAGGGTGGAGAACAGACAGCTGGCAAGATCACTTATCAGGGGTTTCCTTTAGATTAGCACAGTGCTGGCCCAAGCTTCTGCAAGGTAAGGAATCAATTTCGGGGTTAGTGGTGACTATAAACCTCATCCTAGATCCCCTTAGGGTCAGGGAGGCTAAATCCCTCGTGGACAGAGGTGTGCAAAGATCTCTCAGACATCAGATTCTCATTAGTCTACGGTGTGAGCAAACCAGCTGCTCAGTGGTATCAAATTCTGATTTTCTTGCTTGGCATGAATGATCCTCAGTTGTTAAAGATATGTGCAACACTGTCCAAACCCAGGTCTTACTCCTGGAGGTGGCTGTGTTCTTGGATAGATAGACTTCATTGGATGTTTTCTTCTTCTGTTGCAATTAAAGACTCCGTTCTCCTAAGATACAACAGTTCTCTTAAGCCAAGCTGAGTGCTTTCATCCCACAAGATAACATGGAGCAGGGAGTATGTCTTTTGGGGGACATAGATGGGGGCCAGGCAAGTTGAGGTACAATGGTTGGGCACGTTCTGGCCTCCTGGTGACAAACCCACCTCTCAACATCTCTTCCTAACTGTGGAACTGGTTTCCAACAAGAGGTAGGCAGCTTCTTGTTTTCCTTCCTTTCACAGCAATTTCAGGGCTCTTTATGTTTGTATGGTGGATAGAAGTGCAACACATTCACACAGAGGGTGGTGGAACAGGTTGCCCAAGGAGGCTGTGGATGCCCCATCCTTGGAGGCATTCAAGGCCAGGCTGGATGTGGCTCTGGGCAGCCTGGTCTGGTGGTTGGTGACCTGCACACAGCAGGGGGTTGGAATGAGATGAGCACTGTGGTCCTTTTCAACCCAGGCCATTCTGTGATTCTTTGGGTAGGGGGTAGGGAAAGAACACAAACATCTCACCCTCAGCATAGCCCTGCATTAACCTGACTGCTTAGCTCCGTATTCATCTTGAGCTGGGTATCACATAAAGAGAACTGCTTTCAACCTGTCTAAATGACTCTCCCATCACTCTCTAATGGCTGTCAACTGCAGATAACCCTTCTTCACCTGTGGAAACTGGCAGCAGCACCTCAGGCTCATTTATGAGAAATTATCTCTGGTTGTGATACACGGTTCCTTTTTTTTTCTCTTTTGAACCCCTAGCTTAGCAGGGCCAGTGGGGCTGTTTTCTATGGTAATATATGACCCATCACTCCTCTCCTGCCCTTCGTCTCTCACACCTTTAATTGCACTTGTGTTTCTGAAGCATATGGAATTCATTATTCAGCAAGCAAGGTCCTTTGCAATATCAGCCTTAATTAACTGTTCCCCTCTGCATTTTCTTGCTCTTATCCTCTCCAAATCTACACACCAAGACAGGCTGATGGCCCCCCACATGCATCAGTGCCAGCCAGCGAGCCATGACCAGATAAGAAGAAATGGAATTCCTTATCTCTTTTTTTTCTTCTTCTTTCTTAAAATACATGCACACACAAACCTGGAAAAGGTCAAGGTTACTGGGATGGGAGAAGGCACTTCAAGACAACAAAACCCCCTTCTCTTTCAAGTCTCCATAGCAACTCGAAGGAGCATCATGGGATGTCAGGATGAGAGAGGCCTATTCTTTTCATGCAACACTCTTTCCACTTCATTAGACTCTTTATCAAGTATCTCTGCTCTGGGCTGAGTATATTTTCTTGTGTCAGGGAGCAGTGCAGACGACTCAAAGGCACGCTGACCTTTTCAGTGGGACCCAGGAGTTCCTTGTGGGAGCTGCATCCTCTTCCCTTGCCTTCCTCCCCCACAGCCCCTCGCCTCCAGTTCGCATGACCTCGGTCTGCCTGGCCTTCTCATCAAAACGCCGTGGCTGGGGAGGGATGAAGGGCTTCTTTAAAAGGAGAAAGGGAGGAGAAAAAAAAAAGAGAGTAGAGTATGAGAATGTCCTTCGCTGGCACTGGAGGTGTCAAGACCCTAGCTGTCAGAGCTGTGCATCTGTGGGGAAGATTAATGACTCAGCTCAGAGAAAATCCAAATAAAATAGGAGAGAATAAATGCCAAGTGACTGTGCGGAGGATGAGGGGAAGAGTGAGGAAAGAGCGAGGGAGTGTGACGGGGCAGAGGTATTCCTCAGCCTCGGAAGTGCTTTAATTCCCCGTGGAAGAACAAGTTAGCATAGGAACGCTCTTTAGATTTTGCCCCGTGGTCTTGAAGGGCCGTGTCTGTCTGTGTGCATCGGGGTGTGAGCAGGCTTATAAAGCGCTGCTTGTACCGAGGCACCAACGCTGTATGTTTCTATCTTTACTTCCTTGGAAAAATACCCACCGTAGAGAAGCCTTTTGTTTTAAGCTTCTTGCCACGCTCGCCTATTTCATCCTCTAGATATCTTGAATTGCTTTGCAAATCAATGCGCTGCTTGTTCTTGGGAAACTTCAATGCCTATTTTATGCTGTGCAGTAGCATGCAGCACAGCGCGGAGGGAATAAAGGGGCTGCAACTGTGCTGTGGTTGTGGGATTGCACTGGAGCAGCAGGCCCTTCGACCGAACCTTCTTGAGATTCCAAGGCGCTGTAACTGCCTTTAGTTTTTACGATGATCCTTTGGATTTTTACTTCTTCCAGGGAGCCGTTCTGTGACAGTTTGCAGCTTAATTTGAACAGACTTCATGCTCTGAGAGCCCAGCTGAGCTTCTCACCGTAACAGCACACGGTGTGAAACTCCGTATGCTGGAAGCCGCGTGCATCGGATGAGGAGAGGGACTTGTTAGCGTGGATGACTGACAAGGCCAAAGTCATTTAACCAAGTGTTTGTAAAGAGCCTTGAACCTGGACATGCTTAGACTGTGTGCTCCGAGCTAGATGATTTACATGGGTGATTTTAGGAGGAAAAACTGTAGAAGAAAAAGCTTTGCACGTACAGTAGGAATCAGGATTATGAATATCCCAGTCCAACTGCTTCGATCCTCAGAGGAGTAATTCTGAAGTGGGAAATCCCATTAACTCATAATAGGGCTCTTAAGTAGTTCCCTATGATGAATTTGTGGCACTCTGCAAGTCTCATAATTCCCAATATACAGATGAGGAAACTGAGGTTAAGTGACTTACCCAAGGTCACGTAGGAAATCAATAACCACTCCAGCCCTCGCCGGCAGCACCTCTCACTGACTGTGAGTGACTCTGAATCAGGGAATGATCTGTGTTGAAAGGGGCCTCAAAGATCACCAAGTTCCAGCCCCTGCCGTGGGTTGATGGCCACCCACGACATTAGGCTGCCCAGGGCCACATCCAGCCTGGCCTTGGGCACCTCCAGGGATGGGGCACCCGCACTTCTCTGGGCAAACTGAATGGTGATAATCGTCCCCAGCGCTGGTGGAGGAAACTTGGTGTCTGAACACAGCCCTAAAGAATGCCCCAGGGTCTCAGGTGAGGTTTGGCCATGCAGAGCTGAGTGGCTGGGACTCTCCCACCAGAGAGCAACACTGCTTTGCTGTTCCTGGCAGATGGGTGTCCTCTTGTTCTCAGGATCCTCAAATACGGATGCTCTGTGGTCTCCTGCTGTCCCAGTTTATCCCAGTGCCCTCTGCCATCTGTCACAGCACTGTTTCTTTCCCGTGGCACGGCAGGCAGCAGCCCGAACCCCACACACTCCATCTGTGTCAGGTGCTCTGGCTGTGCTCAGCGGTGTATTTCTTGTGAACTGAAGCTTATGTCTGAAAACGCAGGCACAGCACGTCTGTGCTAGGTGTGCAGTATTGGGGTGGGATCCTCTTTTTTGTGATGGCAGGAAATTGCCTCATGCAGGACCTCTCTGCTACGGTGAGTGTGAGAGCCTCTGCCAGCACCTGTGCTGTTGGCCCGTGCTCCCTCATTCCTCCTGCTGAATGAGCTCACTGCTCATGTTCCAGCTCCTCTGCTCGTTGCTTTCATTTCAGGTTTGCAGGGGAATACACTGCTGACAAAGGGGTGTTCCAGCACTGGGGGTTGTTCTGTTCAATGCAAGCTTCCTTACCACGTGTGGTGGGTCCTGCAGGAAGGGGGCTGTGCTTCCTAGGGTCCAACCTAGGACTCCTCACAGTAACACTGTGCTCTCCCTATCACTTGTTGCTCTTTCCTGAACTAGCAGCTGGTGTGATCCAGCACTGAGAGATGCAAGACTGGGTGCAGACACCCAGTATCACTCAGGTCTTCTGCAGGAGTTTTTCTCTGTCCAGCTTCCCAGTACTTTTTCTATAGTTTTCCTTCAGCTAACTCATAGCTGTTTGAATTGCTGATTTTGCTCTTACTGTTACCGTGGCCCAGTGCTAATGATCTGTCTCTATTTCCTTCCTGGGTAGTAAAGCGCAGCAATACTCTGGAGCCTGCTGAATGAATGAGCATGTGCTGGGATTAACCTGCTGCCCAACAGCTTGCTGTATTTTCATAGCGCTTCCTGCAGCTGCCAGTCTGACAGGTCTCTGAAAGCTGAGGGAAGTGGTTAGTGATAAGGTATTGTTCTCAATGCCCACTACGCTTTAAGGCCTTGCAAGGACAGCATGCATTTCTTGTATGTCTCCGTTTTCTGATCAGCATCTCTACACGTATTTGTTGCATGCCAGACCCTCAATCCTCTTTGACTTAACCTGCTGAGAAGGGAAGATGCTCAGGAGCATGCAGGTGGAGCAGCAAGCTTGGGTCTATCTGCCATAACCTAACCCAGAGACCACTCTGCTCCACAAGTGGTGCTCCAGCCACCTGCATTGCCAGCACTGAGCTCCAGCTCTATAACCCAGTGGCTGTGAGCAGTTTTCTGAGCGTGTATAAGGCAAAGCTCCATGCATATATGGGGTGAATGCTGTGGAAGAGGTGCGGCCACGTAGGCATCCCCTGTTTTGCAACACGTGGCAGAGCACTCGTGTCTCAGGGACAGTTGTAGCACAGGGGATATTTTGTACTGCAAACTGCAGCTTTAAAAAAGCACTCAATGTTGGTTCAAGGTTTCCTTCCTGAAGCCTTACAGACTGAATATATTCACTGTGTCCTTCTTTATTTGTAGGTTTAAGGCAAGGCAGAATTGTTCCGCTGATTATTCTGACTGCAGGTATTAGCTGTTCCTTTG